CTTCTCTGTTCATTTGCAGTCGGACTGCATCTATGACATTTGCCCCTTCCAGATTCTGTTTTAATTCCTCCATAGTAACTCCTAACGGAATTCCATTTATTACTCCATATACCCATGACTCTTGTCCTACAATCTTGTAATTCAATACCATCTGTTTCCCAACTGTCTTTATTTTTATGGCTTTATTTTTTTGCTCTTCATTCCTACATGCTATCATTAAAGCTCCATCTTGTAGCACTTTTGCGAAAGCTATCTCTCCTACCAGCTTTTTTAGTTCATATGTCAATGTCAATGGATTAACTCCCGAAACTCCTAACTCTCCTTTAAACTTCAATATTATCCTAACTTCATTCTTGTTATTACTTCGTTCCTCCCCATCTTCCTCACTAGCTATTGAACTGCTTTCTGATCTTTCCTCCTTATTTTTCCTCTTTTTATTAACCTTTTTTCCTGTTTTGACATTTGTCCATCCTACCTCCATATCATCTTCCTCTTCACCTGTTTCTTCCATTCGAGTCTCTGATCCATTCCCACTTCGATTTCCTCGATCTCTCTTATTCGTATTTTTTGACTTATTTGAATTGGCCGCCGCCATCGACTACTCGCGTTGTCCGTCCCTTCCACGTCACCGCCGGTCGGAGATCTCGCTGCACTTCGACGCGACGCTCCAGATCCTCTCCTTCTCCCTCCTGTCTGTCTCCTTTTATCTCGTTTATCTTGACTCGTCAAACAGGAAACCTGTGTGAGTGCCGCTCCTCTCTCTCTCGCACCTGCAGGGCATTAGCGCTAATCAGTGCGGGCATGATTCCATCACGCCCGGAACTGCAGTGGTGTGTTGCACACAATCCGTTCCCCTAGGGAACTTGCGACTCTGAGGAGGGTTCCGATCGCCAAGCGATTTTGTCACCCGTGACACAAGGAGCGTCAAGTCGTGTTTTGGGCGTTTTGAGCGTCAATCAGAAAGTTGAAAGAAGCTCAACTTTATGGTAATGAGCTGTGACGCGGTTCAGCTGCAAGCAGCAGCAAAACGGCAACAACCAATCGGAATAAAGACGTCCTTCACGCTGGCTGATTCCCGGAGAAACATGAATATAAACTTTCATTCCTACCATTCCTATCATCGCCGCTGCTGTGTTTCCTACTGGTTTCGTATCATTTATGACATGCCGTTGTTTGCTTATAGGGACCGCGTGAGCGCAACTTATATTTGAAATATTTGCAAATGCTCGTTTTAAACCGGGAATGCAATTAATTTGCTCATGGAGACACCGATTTGACCGCAATAATAATAATAATAATAATACTAACATTTTTTTTTTCCAGACCAAATGTGACCAAAACGGTTATAAAAATGGTGTCATTAAAAAAGGTTTCTTCAATGTTTTGCTTGTTTTTTTCTGTTTATTACACTTCATGTTTTGACACTTCTATTCTCCCTGCAACGTCAGAGCGTTCAATGCGTCCAAAGCGTCAACAAGCTTCGACGTACTTTTTGACAAGCGTCTTTGACAGGGCGGCCTCTTTGACGCTCAAGATGGCGGCGGTGTGAACGAACAGTTAGCTATGCTTGTAATGCGCGAATCGGTGGGCGGGGCTAAACCGGCCATGTTGAAGTAGGCGTTGATCTTCTTCTGCAGGGGTGGTGTTTTATCCTCTTTGACGTCATAGTTCCCCACTTTGAAAAACAAATCGTTTGCTGAGCCTGGTGTCAATAAAAGCTTTTATTGGACTAACAAGGACGTTTTCAGTTCTGAAACTTACAGGATATTATAATAATATGATGTGGACCTCTTAAGGAAAATTAGATTTTTCAGTTCATCACCCCTGTAAGATATATATGTACATTTTTAATATTTAGAACCCTTATTTTATTGATTGCTATCAGGATTTGAAGAGATCCATTATAACAAAAAGTGTTACCTTTAATGTGAACCGGTCAAAAGTGGAAACATAAAGCATTTGGATACATTAAGGTCTTTGCATTTTTTGAAAGTAGTCAACTAATCTGATTTATTTTGATCAAAAATACAATAAAATCACTAATACAGTGAAATGGTATTACAATTTAAAGGAAGCTTTAAGTCAAAATCAAGTCCTGCCCTAAATTTTGTCTTGTTCGAGAAGCCTTTTCACTTAGATATATGTCACAAAAAGGAAAAGAAAAGACCATTGAAACTTCCGTTTTATGCCAAGTACAATGATGTCCACTTATTTATGTGTTTACTTGTGTAATAATATTAAGACAAACATTGTTACAGTCATGCCTTCAGCGTGATACAAGTTTGTAATTTTTACTTTATATAAAGGATTACATTTAGGCCCATTTTTTACACAAAGCTATCGTGTGACTTAAAAGCTGGGAATGGTATTCAGGTGCTTTATATAGTAAATAATGACAAAAAGTTATAATTTGTGGGTCAACTGTCTTTTTAGGAACAAGCATTTTTTTTATTTTTCCTTATTTGATTTTTTTTCCCCATAGGTTTTGTTTAGCCATGGGGTGGCAGACGAGGACTCTGGCAGTATTTCTTCCGCAGTAACGTGGGTCTGTATGCTTGTCACATCAACACAGACCATGACATGCATAATTCCCAAGACCATAACAGAACTGTCTCGAAATCCGTTACAGCATCAGTTTATACAACCAAATGTAACAGGACAGAACAGCCTGCACTTGTTTGAGATCACAGTGACAATAACAAGTGCACACACACTGCTGAAGACCTGTCTACAGATGTTTAACACACACACACACACGCACTCTTTATAACCACTATCATACACACACTGACAAGAACCATACAACCGAGTCCGACTGCATGTTTGAGTGGAACTGGGCATCTGCGTCTTGTTACATGTCTCTAGAAAGATAATACGACTTTTTTTAAAGGGATAGTTCACACAAAAATTCAAATGTTGTCATTATTTCCTCACCCTCATTTCATTCAAAATTTCGCTAGAGGCTATTTGGCGACACTACGTGCAAATAGAGATAAATGCAATGTACACTAAGTGAAAACAGTATTTTCTATGCAGTAGGTGTAAAGAGTAGATATATGCTTTAAAAAGTGCATGCAAATAGTAGCAGATACTATTTGCAACTCACTTTTTAGTAGTAAATGATCAAATATTATGCAATAATATTCAGTGACTAAAATCATAAATGGATGCAGTCTGGACATTACTTATCCCATGTCTTTAAAACCCACCCCTACTCTTTGCCCAACCTCTAAAACACTATTCCGGTTAGGTGCTTTATTTATAAACTTGAATATTTATTTTTTTTTAATTAAATGCCTCTCCGAGCTAATGTGCATCGAAAAAGGGAAAATAATAAGTTCTATGAGAAAGCCGGAATTGAACTTGTGGTCTTTCAATGTAACTGCTCCTGTTACCAGACAGGTTTCGTTTGTAATGTTGTCTGGCTCAAATAGACTTGGTGTAAATTGACACTACATACGTATGTTTTTTTTTTTTTCTGTGAAATTTAAAGGCAGAATTTGAATAATTTTCTTGCATGTAATAGTTTATAGTTACTACTCCAATCAAGCTATCAAACAAAAACAGCACCATAAAAGCTATCCTGTGTGTGCTATATTCTTCTAAAGCCAACGGTTTTGAATAAGAAAAAGATTTAACTGACATCATGATCATGTGAGGTTGGACATCAAATGCCAATGGTTCATGACCAAAAGATATTGCTTTTGAAAAAAAATAAATAAATAATAATAATAATAATAATAATAATAATAATAATAATAATAATAATTAGCTATTGCTGTGATGTCAATTGAGTGATAGGTTGTCCCGCCCTCAAACCAGTAAACACATCAGAGAAAAGAAGTTATTTTGAAGATTATGAAGGCACATGAATTTGAAAAAAAAAAAAAAAAAAACATGCAGACAAATCATTTATAATAAATGCAATATTACCAAAAAATCTGAATTGACTATTTTGACTTCAAAAAATAGTTGCATCACAATTCTTAAAAAAAAAACTGCAGTGAGTAAGTGAGAGAATTCTGTTTATTTTTTTATTTACCATTTCTTTAACATTTCAGAAGAGCGTGTGTGTGTGTGTGTGTGTGTGTGTGTGTGTGTGTGTGTGTGTGTGTGTGTGTGTGTGTGTGTGTGTGTGTGTGTGTGTGTGTGTGTGTGTGTGTGTGTGTGTGTGTGTGTGTGTAAGATTCAGAGAAGTGTTCTTGATGATGGTTGTGCTAGGATCTGTGATGGCCTGAGGGAATATTACACACACACACACACACACACACACACACACACACACACACACACACACACACACACACACACACACACACACACACACACACACACACATTGTTAAAGAAATGTTAAAGAAATAGTTAAAAAAATAATTCTTAAAAAAAAAATAATATATATATATATATATATATATATATATATATATATATATATATATATATATGAAGAGTTCAGATGCAAAAGCCTCTAAATGCCATTTGAAATTTTCTTCTTTAATGATGATTATTATCAAACTTGTATATTTAAGTTCAGTAATTTCACTTAAATAACAATTAATAGGTAATTACCATTGCCATTTAAGTGAAAACACTTAACTTAAATTTACACGCTTGATAAAAATGATCATTCTAGAAGAAAATTTCAAATGGCACTTAGAGGCTTTTGCATCTGAACTCTTCATATATATATATATATATATATATATATATATATATATATATATATATATATATATTGTGTGTGTGTGTGTGTGTTGAACTATTTCTTTAACATTTCAGAAGAGCTTGTGTGTGTGTGTGTGTGTGTGTGTGTGTGTAATATTCCCTCAGGCTGTCACAGATCCTAGCACAAACATCATCATAAAAACTTTAGCTCATCAATCAGCAGATGGGCACCTCACCATCCTCCCACAGACACATTCAACCATCAAACGCTTTCACGCAGATTTGCCATCTTTTAAAAATAAACAAGAAATCATTTATTTGCCACCCCCATGGTATTATCAATAAAAGTTTATTATTACAGAAGCGTTTAACAGTCAGTCTTATAAACTGTTTAATACAGGATGTTTGAAGCACAGATTAAGAGGACACCGCATGACACAGACTCACACATAAACAACATGACCAATAAACTGCCCTCTATCAATAACCTGCCACTGACTGAGTGGATTAGTTTGCTTAGCATTGTGGGTATTGACACCGTCATGCCGTTTATGAGAAACACATACATTACGCAGGTTAAACATCTCAGATAAGCACATCAAACCAAACCAATTACCAAGCCTGGTAAGTGTAAGTGTAATCTTAAAAGGCCAAACAACAAATGCAAAGACCATTCTGAATAGTCCAGATTTCTTTTTAATATTCAGCCTTGGAAAGTTAAAAAGAAGTTATTTTGTGTATAATTTGAATTTCTTGAGGCCCTGTGACGATGGTTGTTGTGTAATATTACATACAATATAGTCTGAAGTTAACGAGACTCCGAGAAAACATTAAGATAACATTAAAAACATATACACACACACAAAAGAATACATATATCATACATAACACTGACATTTAACTATTTGATCATCTGTGATTCACCCCTAAACAAGTGCTGGTTAGTACAGTAACTATTTGTTTGGCTCATTTTTGTTTCAGAATTACGTAAAAATGTTATGTCACAAGAAGACGACAATGCTACAACAAGCGTTTCAGCCACAAACCCGATGAAAACAGACTAATGTGCTCAGGCAATCAAAGGCCATGGACCAATCATTAGCTCTTTAGCTCAAGGTCCATTTATTTTGACATGAATTACTTGTCCGCCAAAATTTGATTTAAAAACTCTGTCACAGCCAAGGTTATTTTGTACCAGACGTGAATAATCACTTGCAGTAAAGTGTACCAGACGTGACTAATCAAGACTAGAATGTAGAATAGATTTTAAAATACACCATACGGAAGAAAAAAAGCCATATTTCATCGGACCATTCCAAAGGGAACAGCGAGACATGTTTTAGGAGGTATATGTAGGATTTAGACTATGAATAAGCTCACACAAAAACGCATCTGTGTTGAAATGTACCCGTTGTCTTCTAAGATAGCTTTGTTCATCATTAGCAGACAACAAAAACAAGCCGCTGGCAATTCAACATCATTGACAACTACACGACAAGTGGTGTGTGGGTATTCACATGTGAACGTTTTGGAAAGGGGGGGAAAATGCAAAAGTCTTGACATAGCAGTTTTGCTTGCGGTCACGTGACGTGGGTCATCTGTATAGTCTGTTGAGCTGGTTTCATGGCTTTTGTTGGGAGATTAGTAGAGCACACACAGAGTGGTGATAGGTCCTGCTGCGGCAGAGACGGCCTCAGCAATGCAACTCTGAACCTGACCCGACCCCACAAAATTCCTAACCGTACCTTAGTTAAAAGCGGGATCCATAGCGCTTCACATCCACCGTTGGTATGCATCAGCCAGTCGATTGACTCGGGGATTTCTAATTCTCATTTTGTCCAGTCCGTCACTGGTTCTTTGGGACCGGAGAGGGGCGTAAGAAAGCATCTCTCTGTGGTCGCCTCCAATGAACCCCCACCTCGAGTCAAGGAGCGTCATCTGCCGACACAGTAAGTCAATGGTGAAGCCGTGTTTCACCGTTTGCTGCGTTCAGGTGGTTGTGTGGCTCTTTCTATGTGATGCTGTTGGTTCACACATAACCACAATGGGAAGGTCATGGAGCTGCGGTGGAGGAGAAAGATGGTAAAAAGGTGTTGATTGATTTGGGAGAAATGGTACAGAGAGAAGAGGAATCTCTTGCTTGCGCTCTCCCGTTCTTTCTTTATCCCCGTCAGGTGAGCGTAATTGGTTCACCTCTCGCAATGGCGCAGGTTAAAGCTACCTGAACTTTTCTGCTCCCCAATGCTCCATGGCTCCAGGTCCTCCTCTTCCTCATCATCCTCCTCTTCTTCGTAGTGGCTGGGTTCTTCAATGGAACTCTCCATGCGGTAGCAATAGGGCTGACCCTCTGTGTACTCATAGATGGTGGGCAGACTGCTCTTTAGGCTACAGCGACGCCGCAGGGACACCAATAGAGACTGAGAACAGAGTAGAAACAGTTAGACAACTCTGAGATACAATTACTTACAGATAATGATTGTTACTGAAGTCTATTCACTTGGCGGCCATCTTTGAAATTTCTCTCGGGTCATGCAAGTACAGCTCCTATCTCTTTGAATGGGGAAACATCAAATTCTCCAAAGCTGATCACCTAGCTTACAAATAAATTTCTTATTTGAGATCACCAATGAAATCTGACAACAACTATCTCATACATTTTTATTTCTAAACGCTCAAAAAAACTTAATTTTTCAGGCTGGATCAGCCAATGTGCAATCACGAACTTGTGAAGTGAAGGAATGACTCTACCAATTGGGGATTGGCTCTTTCATTTAGCAGGCGGGACTTATTTTACCATATGAATTTTCTCCCATTCATAGCAATATGAGTGCACCGTTTTTCTCTATATAAAGTCTTTGTTGTTTGTTTGCTACACATTGTGCAGATTAGGTTGGGGTGTCTATTGTCTGGATGTGGATGTAACAGAAAGTGTATGTGCTCTGAATGAGATCATCTTACATAATTTATTTCTTATATTAGATGGGATACCAGCAGTACAGAAACTTGGTTTAAAAGGTCTAAAATCGCTTTTATTTCGACAAAGGTCAAACTAAGAGAGATTATGGTAACATTTTTAACATCAGTTAATGCATTAGGTATGATGAACTAACAATAAGCAACACTATTAATCTAGGTTTATGTTAATCTCTTCTTATTGTTCATTTTCAATTGATTTCAACATGAACAGGTTTAAAAATGCTGTAAAAGGACTTCATAGTTAGTTCAGGACACCTAAAGAATCTCATCAGGGAAAACTAGTCCCATCCAAATCGAATTGAATGAAATGGTTTGCCCTGCCAGTTGAAAAAGGTGACGGACAACGTGTCAATCAAATATTCATCTATAATGTGATTCACCCAAGATGAACGTGTTCCTGGATCAACATCCTTGATGGTCCTACTTTGACATTACAGTGAGGAGGATAAGATTATGCTTAGGTATGATATGTAGACAAAGATCTTGTCTTTAATTTTAGGGGTAAGGTTAGACCTATGACATTTTGTTAAAAAAAATACTGTTCAAGGAGCATCACGGATGTCCTAATGGCTAATTCATGCTGTGCCTTGTATCTGGCAGCACAACCATGTTTTACACAAAATTAAGTATTTACAACGGTGTTAATACCATATATTAAGGGGGACTGTGATTGATTTTAAGATTCTGTTGTTTTACCTGTGGCATGGTAAATATGTCCACGTTGTTGCCTAGGTCAATCCAGGCAAGACAAGTGAACATCTTGGATTCTTTGAGGGCTTCAGACAGATCTTTAAGGATGCCAAGAGTCAGACGGTTCCCATTGAGAGCCAGTGTTGTGAGTTTGGGCAATGCACCCAGGAAGGGCAGAAGTAGACGTAGGCCCTCGTCCCGGAGCTCAGTGAAACTAAGATCCACGGATATCACAGCGCCCCCACTGGTCTGGAGGTAATATGCCACGTGCCGTATGTCTCGAGTTGATAAAGGGATGCCAGAGAGGTCCACCGAGTCGCTGCAGAGCTTCTTCTGAAGAGTTGTTTTAAGACTGAAAAGTGGAAAAAACAATTCATATATACTGAGGAATTGCTTAAAACAAGATACAAGCATTAGGGGGATTTTGACTCTAAATCTGATCATTTATAATGCTGCGACTTCAACTAAATTGAGGTTGAGGATTTGGTTATTTGGTCTATATTAAAATCCTTTTCTTCTGGCTAAGGTCAGGGCTCTATAACAGCTTTGTGTTTCCAGCATTTTAAACTCCAGAGACGGGAAAGGAAAAACTCTCTAGTAGGGTCAGTGAGTGTTAAATGTACTTAACTGTCCAAATCCGAGTTGCAATCATATCAGATGTAATAACAATCTATAATTTTATACTTCCTCAAAAGTAATGTTTTTCAACATATTTGCCAGTATGGATTGCATTAAGATCACATTTACCCTAAAATCCATTACAAATGTAGCAATCACAGTACTTTGTACATTTTAATATTCTAGTAAATAAAAATGTAAATCATTTAAATAAAATATCTAAGCCTGGCTTATTTCTTTGAGGATATGTAAAGCTTTCAAATTGGTGGGACTTTACAACAAAGACCCAATAAATAAAATGTGTTGATTTAGGTGACTGACAGTATTTAGATGACAGACACAGACATATCTAAAATTGAACCCTGTTATAACATTTAGTGTTCCTAAACTTGTTCTTTGCCAGTCAGAATTTGATTATTTCTGTAATCATAGGTGAACAATTTCACTGTTTAGTGAAGTAGCTTTTGGGAACAGGGTTGGGAACAATATACTGCATAGCCTATATTTGATGATTTATATTAGATTTTTTTCTGGTAAATTTACAATGAAACAACCAAAAAAAAAGTGATATAGTCATATATACAATTTATGTGCACATATCCTCTAACTGGCATCGGGAGCCTTTGCAGAAATCAGATAAGAGCTTTAAAAGCTTTCTGGCATGTATTGCCTGTTACGAGTCTTTGACTTGATCAATCCAAACCGCTTGTTTCTTCCCTTTGAGTCTGCTGAGCATTTGGGCTAAATGCAAGGTCCAAAGTCATGAAAAGACTTCTCAGGTACTGCTTTCATAGTCATGTAGGCATTATAATGGAAGGCAGAAATGCTGTCCATAATGCTTCTATTTTTCTCTTTGATATGAGGTTATTTGGCAAAGCTATAACTATCTGGCACTTCAGTCATGCAAATACATTTATTTTGCAAAGCTTCTTTCTGAGTTGAGCGGTGATTTTTGTTTTCATCTTCTCATGTACTTTAACATAGATTTTCTTGCAAATTAATTCAATTGCAAAAATAGTGCAAACTGTTATTTAATGTGGTGATGTTTTTATGTACAGTTTTTGACCAAACTTGCATAGACTAAAAACATTATTCGACACAAACAAGTTTGGACACATTAATTGTTGTGAAGAAGTTATTTTGACTTTAATTTAAAGGGTGACAGACAAAGCTGTACTTTGGAAACATACAGTCTATAAGAGGAGATAAAGGATTATTATAGAGCAAAAGTATTATTTTCTTCTCAAATAATTTCTGAAGTAAGGTTCACAGTCTCTATTGTTCTGCCAAACTGTGGATTCCTGCTGCTGATGAAATCTGCTGTTATGATGTTTTTTTTTTTTGTTTTTTTTTCTGATGATGTTGCTGGCATCAGTTTCTACTCGCCCACAATAAATCATCTTTTCACTCTCAATGTTCAGTTGCAAAGAAATTCACATTTAGTTCAAAGTCCAAAATTCACCTGAACTATAGTTTTTGGATTTGAGATTTAGACAGTCAAAACTTGCTCCTTTGATTGAAAAAAACAAAACAAAACAAAAAACATGATTATTTTAGAAATATAACCGAAATGAAAAAAATATATACAAATGTTTATTAGAAAGTGTAATTCAATGTCAAAACACTTTCTCTTTTTCCAGTCTTTGCAAAGTCAAATATATGATATTCCTTTGTGAAAAAGAAGTGCACTTAATTTGTATTTGTTATATATTATATATACTTGCCAATAATATAATATTAATGAAATGTAACGCCATAAAGTTTACTTAAGGAGAGTACAATTTCAAAATGTTTCTTTACACATTTAAATACACCTTTAAAATGTCCACTTTGTAATAATTTCAAATGAAAAGTTTTACTTTATTTTTGTTTAAATAATTATTGCTTTAAATATCTTATTTTGATTTGTTGACAACCATCCTAAAGCACATGTACAAGTACTTGAGTGTTATTTGACATTACATTTAAAGTTAATATGTAATTCACAATTACAAAAGTAAAATTCCAAATATAAAAACAAGTTTCAATAGAAATGGCATTGAAGTATATTTAAGTTTATGATGCATATTTGTCAGTGCACTTTAACCATAATTTTAATTACATATATAGAACTTAAATATTTGTAAATTACCATATACATAGAATTATAATATAAAATTACATTAGAAGATGTATTATCCTACTTAAGTGGTTCAAATAACTCTTAAGTTTAGCTAATTGCATTATAATACATTTAGCAATTATATGTCAGAAAACATTACATTTATTTCACAAGTAGCCTAATTATAATATTTTAAAGTGTATTTTCCATTATAAGTACTATTTTAAAGGCATGTTTGTGCTATTAAAACTGATCTGATAGTATGAGGATATAGACTAGCCTGCTAACTAATGGTGTGAGTCTGAGACATAGCTATGTCTATGGTTGACCCCAGACAGTTTTAAAACATTATTTTTGCAATACCATTTGGTGCCAGCAATGGCCTAAAATTGTACCCTTCACCTTTAAAACCAAGTGAAATCCATCTGTTGACATGTACGAAAATTAAACACATAACCAAGTGAATGTTAAGGGAAAAAACTCCTTTCAAAACAGCAGCACCTCCCCTCTCTACAGTCAGAACCATTACCATGTCCGTGCGCTTCATTTTGACCTAGTTCCATTAACAGGATCAATAAAACACAAACACAGACATACATCTGCTTGAAAATCACTCAGCTCCACAGATGCACATGATACATTTTTCATGATTAGGGCCACACGGTGACAATGCACAGTTTGAAATGGAAATATGGCGAGTCTTGCAATATACACTGCCACACGAACCACAGGACAGAGATCAAAAGAATATCAATTTGCCAAGGAAACACACACACACACACCCACACTGAGATGCAAATGCATTATTACAATCCTCTCAAAGGCTGAAATCTCTTCATGAAATCCTACTGACAGTCTTCCTCTATTTTCCCATTACTGGTAGCAGGTGGCATCACTCCTCTGTGTTTGCGCCCAAATTCAATTTCTTTTCCAAATATAACTTCAGGTCCAAACCCCCCGGGGTTTATGCTGAATACGAATGTCCAAAGGCTATATTTTGACAAACACTGGTTCTTTTCAGCTTGCTGCCTCATATATCTGCTAACTCACAAGCCAATCTGCTCTGCCTTTAAACAGTGACATTTGAGGGATCTCTGTGATTAAATAGCAATAGGTTGGCCCATGAAAAGACTGCGTGCTTTGATGAAATGCTGAAGAAGTTCTTTGAAGATGCGTTACGAATCAATCCAGCTAGGGAGGTGCTTTTGACAGAAAAAAAAGGTTAGTCTGACCTGCCAAACAAATCTGAATTAATTAAAGACAAGGACAAAATTAAAAACAGCCTGGTAAAGGGGTAAAATGAATCATACTTTTATCTAGTTGTGCAGTAAAACATTTACACAACCTTAAAACAGGATAAATCTACTTGAGGAACACAAATGCATAGTATTTTTGTAAGTTGACATGTAGTTGCAAAGTCACTTATAGTCAGTAAAGCATCAAAATAAAGGATACCCGTCAACACTCCCGTTTTTTAGCCCTATCTCACGGACCCCTCTCGGTTTGTTATTTCTTCCGGGAGGCCCGTAATTCGCATTAGAGGCAGACCGATTTATCGGCATTTTCAAAACTATCGGTATCGGCAGTTATTCGGTTGTTAAGTCGTGACGTAATCACGCTCTGATAATACTGTTTCCGGGTCCAAATGCTGGGTCCTCTCTATCTGCTTACCGCTTTTGCCCGAGTTTTAACATGCCGCAGTGCTGTGTCCCATGTTGTTTAAATAGATCGGAGTTAAAAAAAACAAGTGACATTCACTTGTCATTCTACCGCTTTCCCTGTGACGAGAAAGAAAAGAGAAAATGGCTGCAGTTGATAAGGTAAGTTACAATTCTTTCCTTTATCCCTAACACCCACTGGCGCTGAAGCGAAGCCAGTCCTTTAAGAAAAGGGCTTAGTCTAACGTTATGGGTTGTAACGTTAATTAGATATGGACGAGCGGAGCGCTTGGACCCGGAAGAGGCTAAACGTCACGCGTGACATCAGACTTAACAACCGAATAATGGCCGATAAATGAAAATTTCAAAAATAAAATAAAAATGGATGAAACACGCTTCAACCATGTCATGAGTGTTGGATTTGTATCGTTTGTCCACCAGAGGGCACTCTACAGCGTCCCTGTTGGCAACGCTCGTGTTTAATGCGCCACACATCCAACCTGCTGATCCAGGTTGCAGGTAGCTTATAAGGAAATGTAGGGACTAATTATTATTTTATGTACCAGAACCTTAATTTATTTTGACGTTCCTCTGCTCTGTTGTGACAATAAAAGAAACAAATTTATTTTCAAAATGCATTATCAAATAATTTTTTGTAAAAACTCATAAATAACTACAAATAACTAAAGTTAGGGAAATCTGTTAATGTTTTGTTGCGCGTTCCTGAAAAAAAAATACAAATAAAAACATCGGCCGATTTATCGGAATAAGTACTATATACTTACATTGAAATTAATAATTTGATACAATGGACTTATTGTGTACATACATGTTTTTACATTGTACTTATATTTGAAAAATACCAGCATGTAATTACAGCTATAATTACTTTATGTAATTACATTTGTAATTACACAGTTGACCCTTCCCTCACACCTTAACCTACCCTTAAACCGACCCATACCACCACACCTG